GGGGCAGAGTCAACATAAATGACTAAACGTTTCAAATTCTCGACTGCTTTGTTATAGTCTCTAAATGGACACATATTTCTGAATGCTTGGAAGTCATAAAAATCTGAAACATCTATTCTGTACATTTTTATAAAAATAAAAAAATAATATTTTTTTATTCTTGACTTTGTTGTTCCATTTGTTGCATTTGTTGTTCTTGAGCTATTTGTTGTTGAAGTTGTTCTTGTAATACAATACTTTCACCAGTTGCATCTTCCAATTCGAAACTTTCTGCCGTCATTGACAAATACATAGGACATAAAAGTTTTACAGGAACAAAGTTTGCGTCAACTAATGTCAACGTTATACTTGCCAAAGTGTTTGAGTTCACTAAGGTTGAAAATTCTGCATTCGAATGAACAATAGGCAAACCAGCAGAGAAAGTATTGTTTATACGCATAAGTATCTTTTGGTCATAATAGTTTCTGTCGACATTCGAATAACACTTTGAACCTAAGTTTGAAACAATATATAAGATTGGTGTGCTTAATGTCAATGGAATAGACATTCCTTGTATGACACCTTTTCCTGTTATAGGAAACTGTTGGTAGTAAAAACCAGAATAAGTTTTGTATTATAGCTCATATTGTTTATAGTAAACTCAGTCGGACATCCAAACATAATGAAACCTGCTCTAGTTGCAGCACATGTTACACCCGTCCTTAAAGTATTAAATAAGTCAACAAAACCTGTTGGTGGTATATCTGAGTAAGTATCTTCAAAGGAGTATTTTTTACCATTCACAACAATAAAGTCTTCTGGTGTCAAAAGAGCAAAACAGGCTTTAGTCGTCATTGTGTTTAAGGTTAGTTTACAATATCGTCCTTGAGGACTTTGTAAGTTTGTTGTTATAGAATTATATGACTCAGGGTTTTTAGTCGTAATAGTATAAACCATTATGTCTTCTGCCATTTATATATATTTAAAAGTTTTTCTGAAAGTGGAGAAGAACTTCATCTAAACTTTCACATGGCGTTTCTTGAAGTTCTCTGTCTAAGAAGTTCAAATATTTTGTAAAGACATAGAACTTTCCTTTGTCTACACGAACAAACAAAACAGGGTCTTTCATATCGTTCAAAAGTGTGTAAAGTCCTTTACATGAAATAAAGTCTATATTATTTTTCTTCAAACATCTTTCAAGAAGTTTTGACATTTTTACTTAGCAAATAAATTTTAATGAAATGTTGTGGTCGTCAAATATTTTTATAACGTCTGGGAAACTATATTTTAAGTTCAACGTTTCACCTCCTTTCATAACGTATATCTTGTCAATGACATTATATGAAACACCACAGCAACTAATGTCGGGTTCTATTTCTTTGATGTTTATATCGTCTGCCTCTGTCAAAAGTTTCAATAGTTCTTTCAAAACTTCATGAGGTGCAATGACATATGAGTTCACTTTTACAGGGTTGTGTTCGACCAAGTTTAACATTATACTTAAAGCTTGACAAATCTTCTCCTGAGTTTGAAGTTTGTCTTTCAGTTGTTGGTAGTCGTTTCGAATATCTGCAACAGAACTTAAGTCTCTGCTAACTTCAGGATATGTTGGTTCTTTTACAGGAACAATTGTTATACATCTTCGTCTTCGTATGGTTTCCCCATTTCAACATCTCTGTCTTTGACATTGACAATAACACTTTGACTGTTTGTTTGAGTTGGTGAATTTAACTTCACATCTGCCACCGCCATTAAACCTTTTGAAACACTTACGCTTCTATTTTTCGGAAATGACATTTTACTTAGAATAAAAAGATGGATGTATTCGAGTATCTCTTCGAATTGAAGCAAAACAAGGTTTATACTCACAAACAATACAAATACATTGACAGAATAGTTCTTTACACAAACAATGGAAAATGTTATAGAATAGCAGTCTTTGCTGAACCTAAATATTTTCATAAAGCAAAGAAAGTTGGTATAACCGAGATGGTGAAAGTTCTTGACGTTGACAAAAATATAACTTCAAAACTGACCGATATTACTAAAGGAAAGTTTATAATACAATATTATGTCAAAACTGGCGTACTGTCAATATTTGACGGAGAGAAGTCAGTTCAAGAACAACTTACTGACCTGCTGCCAAAATCTGCTCGATGGAAGCTGTCGTTATGCCAATCTGAGGAGCCCCAGCAGGTTTCATCGAACGAATCTTCAAAAGAGCATCTTCCGTGAAAAGTGCTATTGGTTTTGTAAACTTCTTTGCTTTCAATTCATCTGGACCGTCTCGGTCACCAGTATATTGTATTTGAACTGTACCAACAGTTGAAAATACCACCCATAAAGTCTTCTGAGTCAGCAAATGGAATGCCAAGCCAAAAGTTTGAACGGTCTCCATTTGTATATTGAGTTTTTTACCTCCTGTATGAGTCCATACTTTCACATATGGCATAATAGAACTTTGCATTTCAGGGTTAATGGTTGTTGTGAAGTTGTTGTTAAAGTTCATAGCATCTAATGTCAAGTTGTATGACCTCATATCCTCAACTGTAGAATATTCTTCTCTTGGATAATATTTGCCATCTATGTTTATATGATATTTAATACCAGGGTTGTAGAAACAAGAATAGTCATTTATAGTTCGTCTGAACAGTACAAACATAGTATCTGCATGTTTCATTGCAGTTGTTAAAGCAATATCTGTTCTTGCACCTGGGTCAGCACTTTTGGTTTCCAACTTCACCTGCAAAGTCTTTGACAGATATTTGGTGTATAGGGAACATAAGTGGAACTGCAATATATTTGGCAGCTAAAGCATTTGAAATATCTGGGTCCAACATATAGACTGCAAGTCTGCTTTCTATTCTCTTGCATTCAAATTTTTCGCATGTAAACTTAACTGGGTCCCAAGCAGTTCCACCAGCATTGAAATAATAGTTTACTTCAGTGTTGAGGTTTGAGAAACCAAAGTCTAAGTCAACTTTGTCTTTGCAAAAGTCGGCGAATGACATTTTATTTGTTCCCGTTACGTCTGTAAGAGTGAATGGGTCTTGTGTTGGTGCAATGACTAAGTTATTTTTGCTTGGAGTAAGTTCAATAGAAATTTTTCCTGCCCAGTTTGGCAAGTATCTTAAAAACCTGAAGATGAGGAAGGATGACAAAGGAACTCTAAGTTTCAGTTTTACTTTAGTGGCAGCATTTCCATCTGAACCAGAAAGGTTAACATAAACTCCTGGAACGTTAGGGTCAAGTCTTCTTATTTTCTCAATAGTTGCATACTGGTCTGTTTGTTCTCTAGCTTGTGGTTGTACTGAGTTTCTCAAAGCGAACCATTCATAGTTTGCCCATGTTACTGTTTGAACTAAGTCAGAGTTAGAATATATCTTATATCCCATGAAAACTTCTGGAGCATATTGGTATCCGACATAGAAAATTCCATTGCAACCTTTCTTGTCAGACAACTTGGCAGAAGGTTTTATTTCAATGTCTTGTTCCACGTATAAGAATGAGTTGTCAATAGAAATAATATGAAACCTGTCGCAAGCAATATCTACTGTTGTTGAAGAACCTTCTCCAAACTCACCTACGTTTCCATAAGAAACAGCAGTTGTATATTCGTAAGTTCCAGGAACTATTTCTGACCTTCTAATGGCATTGTCGCATTCGTTATACCATTCGGAAACATTTCCGTTCATGGCATCCAAAACTGTTGGCGTTATATTCTGAGCGGCGTACATTTCATATGGGTAAAAATATAGAATAGTTGGATTTATATATCATAATAGAACCCATTCGGACCAAGCTTTACTTTCTTCCTGACTGAGTTTTGTTGCATCTTTGCCTCATGTTCACCTAGTATGTTGTAAATTTCCCATGTCCTTTTTGCCTTTGGGCTCTGGTCGCCCATCTCAGGTAACCTATATCCTAGAAAGATTTTGTCATAGTTTGTATTTGAGTCTTCGCGTATTGTTTGCATGACTCTTTCCTGAGTTTCCGGTTCAAGCTCTTCAAACAGAGCTTGTCCATATGGAATAAGCTCGTTTCCAAATATATGTTTTTGTAGCCATTCTGGTTTTCTTTCCATGTTACCAATAATATCTTTTGTGAATGGGAAAGCTTTTACCCAATGTTCCAGTCTTGCGTCATTTATTTCTGTAGTTGGTTTTATTTTGTCAAGGAACATGTTTTTCAATACTAACATTTCATCTGGTACTGTCCATTTGAGTTTTCTTAAATATTCATCCCTTCTCTGTTCATTGTCTGCAAAGTAAGTTTTTATGACATTTTGCAAACTTTCGTTTGCAAGGTCATGTACAATAGGTTCTCTTCCTTCTCTCTCCCTAACTCTCTTTCTAAACTCTTCACCAAATATACCATCTCTATGGTTCTGTGTAGTTCTTTGAGATAAATGTTTTAGAACGTCAGGTGTTATATTTCCTTCAGCCATGTTCATTTCATACTGGTTCAAAATATCTGCATCTTTCATATCTTTCAATGGCATTAAAGCCGCGCTGAAAATACCAGCTATATCTGGTTCACCATTCGCTTCCATTGCGTCTACAACTTCTTGGAATTGAGGTTGTAAGTTTATGAACCACCTATCCGGATTAGCTTTATGACCCCATCTCATTGTAGTTCCATAGTCTGCAGAAACAAAAGTAGGTTTGTTTCCATATTGGTTAGGTTCTGAATGAACTTTAAACAATGTTTCATTTCTATATGTTTTGTTGAAATTTAACCTTTTATTTTCACCGAGTTCATCCAAAGATTGAACGTTATATGCTCGTAAGTAAAAAGGATTGTTGTATTTGCGTACATTTTCTTTCAGTTCTTCCATTCTTTGCTGAATATTTTCATCTGATGTTGGAGTCTTTTGTATGTCGGCGAACATTTTTCGATATTCTTCTACTATGTCAGCCGAATTTTTCTTAGACTCTTGGAAAGATTCCATATTCTCCGCATACTCTTGTTGAGGGTCAAGATTTTTCGGCTGTTCCAAATCTTCATCTAGTTCTGTGAAGTTAGTTTCCAAAGGAAGGACTTGTTCGTTTCCTTCAGGCTCTTCTAGCTGTTGTTGCTGAACTATTTCTTCCATGTCTGGTTGTATCTGAACTTCTTCCTGTGGAGTTTCTTGTACCTCATCTGGTGGCATTTCATATATTCCGAGACCGTTTTTAACAAGTTCCCTATTTAAGTCATCCGCATTCATAACCCTTTCTTCTTTCGTTCCGTCTCTATTTTTTACGCGTTTCATGAAGATAGTTGAATCATCATTTATCTCTGACACCAAATATCTCGGAGTAAATTCAGTCATGTCATTTGGATGATATGCTATTAAATCATATCCCTTAGCGAGCTTGTATTTTCCAGGTTTGAAATTATATCCCATTTGGTGCTGAACCATAAAGCTAAATAGGTTCGGGTCAGTATTTCCTTCCTTGAACTTTCTAATAGCTTCTTTATATCTGTCACTAAAGTCAAGAGTATCTGGGTAATCATAATTTTCCTTAAGCATTTTTAAGAATTCTTGGTTTCCTTGTTCTCTACTTCTTTTATGTCCTTGCTCTGTTTGTGCTGGTTGTTGTGCTGGTTGTGGAGGTGGTTGTTGTGCTGGTTGTGGAGGTGGTTGTTGTGCTGGTTGTGGAGGTGGTTGTGGTGCTGGATTTTGAACTGTTGGTTGCTGTGTTAGTTGTTGTTTTGGTGCATGCTTGTGTCTGTGTCCATGTGACGATGTAAATGTTTTAGGTAGTCCTGGTGCAGGTGCTTCTCTTGGAGGGTTTGGTGGTATATAAGTTCCACTAGCTAGTATATAAGTTCCACCAACTGGTATATAAGTTCCACCAGCTGGCACATATGTTCCATCTGCAGCATAATGTCCTACCTGACTTTTCGTTCTTAAGAAAGCATTTACTAGGTCTTTTTTGGTCTGTTGTAACTCTTTTTCTTGACTTTCCACAACAGTTGCTCTAACGGCGTCATAGGCACTTTGAACTGCCTGTCTCGTTGCTGCATCTGTTATTTTCGTCATATTTTGTGCTACTTCTCTTAACTCTTTGTCGAAACCTTCAGACTTCAGTTTCTTTCCAGATGAGAAGTCGTTCACTAGTTTCACCTTACTATGAAGAGCTTCGAAGGCATTCTTAAAGTCAGCATTCATTAAAGCTTCATTTGAACTGTCTTCATCCGCTTGTATTTTTGTCCTTATTGACCCTATAAGTTGGGCTGCTTTAGCGTTGGCTTGGGCATCTAACCAGTCATTATTAGCTTTTATATATTCTGCGCTTTTCATTGCCTTTTGCATGGCTGCGTCGTTATTTTTACTTTCTTGTGCTAAGTTTTCATACTGTACGGTTTGGTTTTGCAACTGTAAAAGTTTTTCTGCCTTTACATTTGCTTCAACTTCTTTTTTATACTCATCGCTATCCATATATGTCTTCAGGGCTTTTTGTTTTATTCTTCATCTTTCAGTACTTTATATTGAGTAGTATGGTTTTTCAAATTTATAACATCTTGTTCCATTTTTGCTACTTCTGCTGCTTTTTCTGACACTTTTTTCGCATATTCCTCTGTACTTAGTTCTTTCAGTTGTTCTTCTTTCTTCTTTTTCTCTACGTTTAACTCATTGAGTTTCTTTGTGTGTCTGTCATATTCTAGTTTCTTTTCGTTTTCACTTATTTGTTTCTGTATGTCTATGTTTGACTTTTTGACATCTGTTATTTGATTTTTGAGTGAACTCAAATTCATTTGACTTTGAGGGTTATAAGCTGTTCCGTCTGCAGCTCCACCATAGCCTGCCATTTTCGCTAAAAGTGCCGCTCTTAAACCTCCACTCTGTGCACCAATAACTCGGTTTAAAAGCATAGGGTTGCTTGACATTTGTTGCAACATAGTGGGGTCATTCATCATTTGTTGTTGCAACTGTTGTTGTGGTGTCAGTTTTACTATTGGATGTTTCAATGCTCCCTTCCTCTTACGTATATTCTTACGTAGCTTACGTGGCATTTTAAGTGAAGTTAAAAAGCGGCTTTTGACAGATGTTTATATGACACTTTTTGTTCAGCACAAAAAACTACTCGGTCAAAGTGTTGTCAGTTTTGTAAAATAACCGTCCTATCTCATTCTATAAGGGGAAAAAGGCTTCTCAAAGTATACTTCCTTGGAACGCCTGTAACTTTTCCTGTAGCGACGATAGACCCTTACTTGTCCGGACAAAGTTATACTATTTTGAGTGCTCTACAAAAAAGTCAACGGCGACGACTCTCAAAAACCGTTGTGTAAAAAGTTTTACCGTTGGACAAAAAAGTATATATAGAAAACAAAAAACGTTTATAGTTCATTCAATATTTGAGATGGAACGGTTTGCCAACGGTAACTATTAAATAAAATAAAAAAATAGAGGGGGTCTCCGTTGACGAAAACGGTTCATCTCAAACTCTTATTTGAAAAAATAAAGTGGTCGGTTTTTTTCACTTCATTTTAGCTCAATGTCATACCAAGACAGTAGCGATTCCGATTCAACTATCCAGGAAGAGGATTGTCATCCTCCACGGTCACTCCCAGTCCCAGATGACACTCCAAAGACTCGCTTTGACCCCGAGCAATCTAACTTCCAATTGCGCCAACAATTGCAGTCAAAAGCTGATGAATACATGGCTTCTTCTATAGAAGAAAGTATAGAACAGACCTCAGAGTATTCTACAGCTCTTGGTCAACTAGTTTCGGCGACAGTCCAATTCGAACAAATTTGTTCGAATTCAATTCAATATGCAGACGAACTTGTCCGCTATTGTCCCACTCTTGTAAGAGTACTTCAAGAACGACTCTTCAACCAGTTGCTTCCTACCTTACGCAGCCCAATTCAAATTCAATTTGCCCGTGCAGCCATAAACTTCACTCCGTACTCGTACAGCTATGATGAGGATGAACTAGCTGACGAGTACGGAGCCGAAAATGTTGGCTGGGTTTTTCGCACAACTCCTTGCGAATTCCAAGTTGAAATTGTCAACCATTTCCTCGTTCGTACTATTTCGTTGCAGAATGAAGACAACGAAAAAGATGGAGTCATTCCAGGTGACCGTGTAAGAGTCATTTTCCAACGCAAAAGTGGACAAGAAATTGTATTCGAAGAATTGGTTTGCATATTCTTTAGCAATGGTCAAGACTACTGGGAAGGAAACTTGGTATTAGTCCCCGGTGAAACCATTTCTGTTTCATCGGATTTGAACCATCCATACAAGATATGGTTCAATTACGTTGCATATAACGCAGAAGACCCGAACTTTGACTCAGAATAAAAACTTCATTTATACTAAACATCTTCAGGGCTAGAAGGGGCGCAGCCCCTGGAAGCCCCACTACCTTTTTTTTTTTTTTTTTGATTCCTTCTTGAAGCGTTGAAATTTCTTATTGACTCTCTTTTTATAACTTTTGAAAGAAACCGTAAAAATTGTGAAACATGCTTTTTAATAAAAAACAATTTTGATGAAAACCATAAATTAATTTAAAATTGAAATAAATTTTTGAAATCTATGATATTGAATAAAAAAATTTATAGTGTAGATATTGATATAGATATAGATGTTAATTTTAATATGATATTTGATAAAATTGTTTTTATCAAAACATACTGATAATAGGTTGACATGTAATATGATATTTTGCCTTGTAAATATATTTGGTCGGCAAAATAACCTAATTACTCTTATTTTGAGTTCACTTCCACCATTTCGTCTTATGATATTACAAACCGCTAACGTATATTTTACAACACAAATGATAACACTAACTTAACCTTAAATATTTACAAAGCCGCCAACCACTTCACCTCACTAACGAACTCACTAATGAAAAAATAAACGTTCTCATAAATTTTCTTCTATATCTTCATCGTCAATGTTAACTCTATTGTAGTCATACTTGAAGTCATAAAGTTTCTCAAGTTTTGAAATGCATAGTCTTGTTAACTTACCTTCATCATCATAAGTTTTTATAAAACTACCATGACAATCTTTATACACAGTCAATGTATAGTCAACTGGTCTAGGATGAAGTGTAAAGAACATGTTATACTCAGGAAGGAAGAATAAATGTTTAAATGTATGTTTGTTATATTTTTCGATTTGTATGAGTTGCTTTTGTTCTGTCATTTATAAAAAAAATAAAATAAAAATAAACTTAAAAATAAATGATATCACCACCCTCACACGTATGAAAACATAGCACAAAAATAAATTTAGGTGAAGTGGTGAGATCTCACCTCTTTTTCACCTGTTTTTTCACCCTGTTGAATTCATTGCTTTATAACTCTCTTCCTTTATCCAACTCTTCTAACTTCTTCTTAAGTTCAGCAATGCTGTCCTCATGAAGTTTAATCTTTCTCAAAATTCCTTCTTTATCTAATGGTTGCTTTATCTTTCTAAACTGAACTCTACCATCCTTCATAGTATGAATGTAAAAACCTTCTGGAATAGTTCCTGATTTAATGTATTCTACCAAAAACTTTTGTTTCATTGCTTCAGTGACTTTTTGTCATTTCAATCAAATAAAAATTTTAATATTAAATAAAAATAACGTTATTTTTTCAGTAAGGAAACGCAGGAGTTTTACGATTTATTTGAGGAGTAGGTTCTGGTTTAAATGTTGGAGTCGGTTTTGGAGTTGACTTTTGAACAGGAGTTTGTACTTCCATAGGTTCAGGAGTCATTGAAGGTTTTGCTTGTGAAGGCGTTGGTTTTGGTTTTGGCGAAGGTGTTGGAGTTTGTTTAACTTCAGCTACTTCAGTATTATTTACAACATTTGCTTTATTTCTTTTCAACATCATAACTGCTCCTGCTGTAGCTAGCAAACCTAGTGGGAGACCATTTTATATAAGGACTTGACCAAATGCTATTTTTGACAGGAGCTGGTGGAACACCTAACCTTGGTGAGACTGCTCTTTGCCATTGTGCAGCTCGTAAGAAATATTCAATAGGTGCTCCATAATCGTTTGGTAAAGTTTGTTTCATAGATGGTGAAGGTTCACGAGAGCTTGATGAAGAACTCATTTATAAGCTTTAAAAATAAACGTTCATCCTTTATTCCTCACTGTCGTCCGTAGCTAAGTTATAGTCATCTAATCTTATTATGGGATCCATTAGCACGCACCTGAATGGCAAAGCAACAATCCCTCATAAATCCAATAAGTGGCTTTGGTACATTTTCAGTTGCTAGTTCAATAGGTCCTTTAACAGACAATTTGTATGTTATTGGAGCAGTAGATGTTTGACCTTGCTGGAAGCAAAAGTCCACTTCTGTTGGAAAACCACATAAGAAATGTGTGTTGTCATAGCTATCCCATTTATGTTCCACACTACCATCATCCACCAATGACCTCATAACATCTTCATTAAATCCTATCATATCATTGTTTGTATTGCAGCGTTCGCAACCATTTCATAAAATACAGGTCCATATGATTTTTCAGGTTCTGCAGGCATATTTCCATAAGCTCCCATGGAAAGCTGAAGATATTTAAACTTAGGGTTCTCAAAATTAACATAATAGTTGTCTTTCTTTCTAAATAGTGCCCAAATACTTTTAACATTAATAGGCGTATAAGCTGCTGTAAATGTTGCACTTGAACTATCTGTATTCTTTGAGAATGAACCGTCCATAGGAATCCAATCCATAACTTTAACAGGAAAACATAAAGCCTCGTTTGTATAATGTTCTACAAGTTCTGTATAAATGTTAGGGTCTAAAGAGAATGACTTTGGATGAATGAAACATTCATTAAAATCCATCTTTGTTCGAAATAGTTGCTGGGTTACAGTTGTAATAGTAACTGTTCCACTAGCTTCTACTGCCTTCGTTATCATAGTGAATGGTTCATTCCATGGAACAAATTTATTTGTCGGTGGATTTGAATCTGAAGCAAATGCAACTTTAAGAGTTGGATTGAAAGCAATGATATCATTTACAGATATAGATGTGCATTGTAAGGCGTCGCTACTGAACTTTACTTTAAGCTGAATGTTTCCTGCAAAAGCTGGAATAAATCGAATAGCTTCTAATGGAAGGAATCTTCTAACAGGAATTCTTAAACGAAGCTTAAAATCAAATGATTTTCCTGCTGTAATTGGACCACTAACAATTTGTCCTCTGCATGTTCCTGAATGACTCCATACATCTTCATGTCGAGTCTTTGAGAAAACATCTACTTTCTTTATTTGTTCGGTAGTTGTGAGTTTGAAGTTATATATGCTTCTTCTCTTGCGTTGTCTTGAGAATATACGATACGACCATTTGCAAGGATTTGATATCCAGCAATTGCATAGAAAGCGTCATCGAAACCAATCCAAAATCCTGGTGGGTTTGTTTTATTGGAACCTGAACCAATTTCTTTATCTACAATAAATTGACTTCCATTTTATACGTAATGAATGTATTGTAAAGGTCCAACATATTTTCACCAGAGGTGAGAGTTGAATGTTACCCATGTGTTATCTTTAGCAGTTCCAGGTTGTGATGGAATCTTTGCGTCAGAATATTTTCTATTAGGGTCCCAATTTGAACTGCATTGTCTATGATATCGAAATATGAGCGAATCTGATGAATATGCTCTGCTGGAGTAAATTCGTTTAACTGTTCGTTCTGCATGTATTTACTTCAGATAAAAATATCTATTTACTTCATTATTCTCACTCTTCTTTCTTGGCATTCGTGGTGGAAGTTGTTTCTTGACATTTCAATGAACTGTACATTCTCTTTTGTCTCAACTTCTTTCACTGGCGGGTCAGGATTCTTTGACTCGGTTTGTTTTTCAATGAAATTCACGAACTTTGCAATAAGCTCTTGGTTCGTTATTGAAAGAACATCTGGCTTCTTTCTTCTGGTTCTATTGACTTTTCAGTTTGAATAGAAGGTTAACATGGGCTTCGTGGACTTCACCCTTGCCATGCACCTTAATACTGTCGCTTTCTGCATTCGCTAATGGAACCTTTCTTTTTCTTACGTATATTTTACCATCTTTACTCTGACTTACGTATAGAAAGGATGTTGTATTCCTCTTGCGTCATTTAATATAATAGACTCTCGCTCTGATTTTGACAAGCTCATTTACATCGGTTAAGTTTTTAATTTTGTTTTTTATCTGCAGTCAAATGGTCAGACAAGCCCTACGGACAAGACCCAAGGGTCATAGATGTTGAAGCATTGAAGAAAGAAATTCGTGAGCAAATTTTATCCGAACTGAAGGAACAAAAACAAGACAAAAAGCCAGAGAGACCAAAGAGAAAACTTAGTGAAAAAACAATTGCTGCATTAGCTGCTGGAAGAAAAAGAACCCATGTTTGCTGGCGAAGAAAGCTAGAGAAGAAGCTGAAGCAAAAGCTAAAGAAGCTGAAGCAAAGAAAGAGTAAATGGTTTATTTTTATCCGTATTAAATGTATAGACAAATACCTTTATCTGTTGCGTTCAGTAGTGAAAACCCTGACGTCAAAATAAAGGGGACAGAGTAACGTTTAAGTTTCCAACAGACTGGATTGGAACATAAATGAAGAGAAGTACATTGGCATAACATCTATGTATATAACACGTGCTTTCAGAAAGGTTGACTTTATACTTCAAGTCGAGATAGAAAATGACGAACAGTCTTTAAGCGCCCAAAACATTCACATATACAAATACTTTAAAGACGATACAACATTGCAACAATGTATGATTTCATTTAATGAGATGTTCGAGAAAAAGTTTAACATTGAAGTACAAACTTTACAGCCTTTACGTGAGTTTCTTGCCACAACTGAAAAGAAGAAGTAGTTCGGCCACAACTTATAGACTTTCATTATGAATTTAATGAAAATGAAGATGGAACACATGACTGTCAGTTTGTTGTATTCTCACCATTCAATGAAGTCGCTAAAGAGAAAGAAAATCCATTACGTATAAGATTTCAAATCTCTGAACACAAGTGATGATTTCAAAAATGTTTTCAATTATGATGCAATGCTTCCGAGGAAAATGAATTTTCAAAGATTGTAACACCTGGATTTGGGATAGAAAGCAAGCTATATTATATTCAAACTTAAGTAAGGGAGTTGAAAATGAGTTCATTGGTCATACAAGAACTTCACCTTCCTAACCCTAAATACTTAAATTAACTGGCTTCAATCGTGAGTTTTGGATAGACATGTTCTCCACCATGACCATAACTGCCCAGTGTTCTTACCTCCAGACCATAAGGACTGTCTCTACATTGAAGCACAACTCTAAACTCTACCATCGCAGTATTGTAAAATCTACGCTAGTTTTATTTTTTCTGAAATTTTTATTTGAGTGAAAGGATGGAAGGTGAAGGACATTGGCAAACACTCGAACATGACAATGACTATGAAATCTTTTCAGAGTACCCTTATCCAATTAGGCGCATAAGTAACAAAAGAGTTGTAAGTGAGTTTGACAACGGTGATGGTTATATTTGTGTTTATTTAAACAAACATAAACTCTTTAAGCATAAAATTGTTGCAAATCAATTTATACCGAATCTGAAGGACTTCGAGAAGTAGACCATATAAACAGAGACAGAGGAGACTTTCATATCTCAAACTTAAGGTGGGTGTCGAGAAGAAAACATGAGAAATATTTCTGGTTCGAATGGCTATTGGTTTGACATTGTAGACACTCTTCCTGAAGATGCTTGTTGAAATTATACAATACTCTAAATTTACTCTAGAAAATTACTACTATGTCCCAAGTGAAGATGTCTTTTACTATTTCATGGGAACTCAATACAGACGAATGAATGTCTTAAGACAGTATAGCAAAGATTATATAAACATTACAGATGTAGAAGGAAGAAGAACAAAGCTGTCTATTGCAAAGTTTAAGAGAGACAATGGTTATACATAAATGACAAAAATATATGACCTCATTATTTTTATCATGAATGACCTCATTGCTGACAAAAATAAATGACCTCAGAACTTCAACTTACGAATAAAGCTTGTTTTAGTCGTTATTGAGAAGTTAAACTTCTCTTCAAAGCAAGGACTAGAAGACTTACATAAGTCAAATCCAATCTCTTGACCATCATGAAGTGCTTTGTAAAGTTTCATTAAACTGAACTCAGAGTCTTTGTCATATGTTCCAACAGTATGTGAATGTTCTTATCTTCATTGTAATAGCATTGTATAGCTTCAGGAAACATTTCATTAGCTGTTAAAGCAAGAACGTCTTGTTTTACACCTTTACAACGTGCATGGAATGCAACTTCATTTAAATCGTTCGTGAGTAAGTCTATGTAAGTCTTCTTTCCACAAAATATTGACTTGTATGCTAAACTTTGTTTTCCAGGTGTTATTTCTGCGAAGTCAGAATGGAACTGACCTAATGTTTTACCAATAAGTTCTCTACCGTATCTCTTCTGAAATTCCTGAGCTAACAGTGGTATGTCTTCATTGAAAATATGCATGCTATCACAGTCCTGGTAAAATATTTGAAGTCCCATATCTTCTGCAGTACAGAATACTTCACACATTATTCTCTTCGACATAGACAGAATGTTAACACCAAGTGGACAGAAGTTAAAGGTCTGCAAATGCTTTTTCGTTAGCTTGAAAATAGTTTTATCTGAACCATCCAAACCTTCGAACTTCACTATATGGTTGTAGTTTCTGATGGCATATCTTATAGCATCTTTGTCATTTACTATGGTTATTTGACTCAATAGGAGATAGAATAGTTTTGCCATAAATACTGTTCAGAATGAGCTTTATATTTTCTTGCAAAGGATTTCCTTCTTTCTTATACTTTAACCTTAACTCAAACAACTTCTTTACTTCATCTCTTATTCTATATATCTCTGTTTCCATCGTAATAGTATCCTTGCAACACTTCACATTTGACACCTTGATATTTTATGAGGTCTTGTAATGTTATATGGTCAACATACATTAAACAGCAAGTGTTTGAACTTCTGGGAACGTTAAGTTCTGGATTTAGTTCAGGGTCACAAACTATTAAAGGAAAGTGTCTATGTATTCCAATCTCTGTTATCTTAATGAGAACAAAGAAGCCGGACATAAACTTTTCACCAATGGGTTCCTTTTGGTCGTCATTGAATAAATGTCTCATGAGATACTCTGTGCTTAACATTTCTTTCTTCATAACTTTGGAATACCTTCTAAAGTATAAAGTCTTGCTATAGCTGATGGATATAATGAAACAGCGTCGAAATCAGCAATGAGTTTCTTTTCGCTCTTTTGTTTAATGTTATCTGACAGCATACATCTTCCACCTTGAATACAGCGTGAAATAAATTCTCTTGGTTTATTTGAGAGGTCATATAAATTTCCATTCGGGAAGTACACTCTGTTTCTCAAATAATTTGTTAGCAATTGAACAAATACTAACGTAGTCATAAACGTTTAAATCAAATTCTTTCAATATGTCATTGCGCGAACTTAACAAACCTTCTCTTAAAATTCTTACATCTTGTTTGCAATAGAATGTACTATACTTTTCTAAGTCGAAGTGGTTCTCATCTATTCTGCAACCTTTGATGGAATCTATGTTTTTCATGAATGTATCTGCATCCCGGATAAACTTACATGCTTCAGAAATGACACCAGTTCTGTTGTCATTTGCTAACAAAACACTGCTGTAGTAGTTGTATGGAAATACTTCTTTCGGTCCTGTTTGTAAGTTAAACATAGCAGGAAATAGTTTAAGCTTCTTATTTATAACACTGTAAGAGTCTTTTATAATAATTGCCCTTCCTTTATATAAGCCAGTTATTTGCATTGTTCGTGAACCTTTAATGATGGGAGTTCCTTTCACTTCTGTCATGTGTCTTAAGATGAAGTTTATATCATAACTGAGGTTATGGAAATATATTAAACTCTTGTCAGGAAGTCGTTCCAAAAATTCTGTTGCACAGTTCTGACCCCAAATGCTTTCACTCACTGAACTCTTCACTGTCATAACAGATGTTAAAAGCTTTATGAAAGCCATCGGTACTGCACTCAAAGTCAGCAAAGAAAACGTGCTCAGGAATGAACTTACATTTAGCTTTATTTACTTCTTTTGACTCGGCTTTCTTCTTCAGTTGTACACAATACTTTGGAGCATATGACAAGTCTTTAAATGGTGCAAGGTTCTGTTTATATAAGTCAGTCGTATATGTGAAAAGTTCTCCATAAGAAATAGGTTCGAAATATTTGCACTCCCACAATGTTTTCATAACATCCCATAACGGTGTTGTTCTATCATAACGAACTACATATTTATCTTCTCTCTTTGTATAAATCTTCATCTGTTTCTCAATGTTCATTCCACCACACTCCTTCAAGATTTCTATATAGTTGCGAATGAAATATGTTGTCATTGGTAATCTTTCGTTTAGCATGTAGTGGTCTTCAACAAGAAGTAAGTCAATAGTTCTAACAGTTTCACATTCTTTTGGTATGTATCTCTTTATTTCATTATGTCTTGAGTCATTGAAATAACCAATGGTAACATTAAATGCTATACCTGTTGCGTCAGAAATTTCTTGTACTTTACTTTGAGGAAAGTCTCTAACACGAATGACTTCTCTCATGTGGTCAATAGTTTCTTCATTTACACCAGCCTGAATGCAAGCATAAACGAAACAATTGTCTTCTGTCATAAGTGCTGCAGTTCTTTTGTTCAATTCATTGAAGATTTGGTAGCGCTCAAGATTTATAGGTAATGTGCAAAGATACTTCCAGAACTGACCGCTTCTCTTCTTATAAAACTTCTTTTCACCATTATCTTTCCAAAAGCTTTCTATAAGTGCTGGGTTTCCTGTTTGCTTAAGAGCTTCCAAAATGGCTTTCTGGTCATTTGTCAGTGTGCTTTCATCTCTATATGGTCTCTTTTTTGGTTTGCCTTTCTTTACATCTGACATCGTTAAGCCTTCGTATTCTGTTAAATCATACATCTTTATTTCAGTAAGATTCTTTATGTTTGTCAAGAAGAAGTCATAGTGCATTTCAACAATACCTGCAGCATTTGCTTCTATCTCTGATATAAAGTTCTCTTCAAGAGCTGATGTAGTAATGTTTCCAATATTATTGAGGTTTAACGTAGAACATTCATACTTTCCACCAAGTTTATAACATACCATCCATCTCTGTTGTGAGTTTATTTTAATTTTCTCTAAGAGTCTCATGAAAACCTTACCGAAATGTTTGTGTAAGTAGTCTCTGTTTGGTTCATTTAAAGCTTCAATGTTAAAGTCAATGAGTCTATTGCCTGACTTCACATTTCTCTTCCTATTCTCTTCATCTTTCTTTAACCATCTCTCACCTTCTTTTGGTTTGTCGTCAATGGAACGAATGACATCGTTAGCTTTGCGAACTTGTTCTATAGCGCTCTTAAACATCTCTCTTCTCTGTTGTTTCAGTGTGTCGTCTCTTCTTCTTGTTTCACCAACGTTTGCATTTGTTATGTCAAACATTTCTCTTCTTACTTCATGAGGTACTGAACGTCTATGATATAAGTCAATAGCAACGTCATTTAAAGGAAATGCTCTCGCATGGACTTCGTCCTCGCCGCGTTGCGGCTTTATGAACTCATGAATTCTATCATAACTTATTGCACCATTATAGTCTTTAATGAAGTCAGCGAGTGCTTTTTTGTTTGTTGCGTAATGCTTTGCAACATCTATATTAGCTTCTGTAAGAAGTTGTTTTATTTCCGAGTGTTCTAACTTAGACAACTTCCGATACATCTTTAGTAGGAAATAAAAAAATATTTTTTGAAAAAATTAGATTAGATTTTTTTAAGTTATTTTTCAAAATAATTTAATATTTTTATTTTAATGAAACACATGCAAGATTGCAAGTTCTTTCATACTGCTCTCGCTACTGCCATCAAGAATGAGTTCAAAATGCTTCAAATGTTAATGTTATCTTTAACAAGAAGTTTGTGAAAGAATCTAAGTTTGGTCAGTATGTCAGACCATTAGCTATCGTCATTGACCGCAAACGTTATACTTCACAAGAGTTAGCAGTAGTTTTGAAACAAAAGAGTTTCTTCGTGAATGTCAAAGATACTCATTATACTGTTATAAAGAACTCTAATATTGACTTCTTCAGTATTGCTTTAAATCTTTCCGAACAGAAAGAATATAAGAAGGGTGAAACTGTTGCATGCTAAGTTCGGTCAAAATGTAAACCTCTCAATTTTATCGTCGGGGGAAGTAACTCAATTCCTTCAAAATTATTCTTTAAATATTGAATTTAAAGTTATTTAATTTGGATTATAAATAAATAGGCTAATACAATATTTAAAAATGAGAAAAAATAACTTTTCAAAGAACTTTTCATAATCTCAAAGAAAATTTTTTATTCAATAATTATATAAATTAATTAACATTCATAATGAAATTGGATTTTTTTTTATAAAAAATTGGTCCTACTTAACTTTTTGAGAGAATTTGGCTTTCTCGTAAACGAAAAAGGGGATTTGACGGAGTCAAATCCCCGCTCACAAAAAGTGGACTTTACATGTTAAATTTTATATGCATGTAATGTCCACTTTTATGAGTTTTAGGAAGGAATTGGAAGCCATGAGTTACTGACATTGCATCAGTATCTCATAGCCTCCAATTCCTTCAAAAAATGGGAGAAACTTTGTCCGAATAGTTTAACATTCGGACAAAGTTTCTCCCATTTTAAGAAGGAATTGGAGGGTAAGAGATATACCATATGAATGTATATCTCTTACCCTCCAATTCCTTCTAGAAAGTGTCCAAACTTTGGGTTAATTGCAAAGTATTAACCCAAAGTTTGGACACTTTCAAGTGGAGATGGAAGGCTTTGGGGTATATATTAATACAATATACCTCAAAGCCTTCCATCTCCACTACAAATGGGAGAAACTTTGTCCGAATAGTTTAACATTCGGACAAAGTTTCTCCCATCTTTCAATGTAATTGCTACCTGTGAGGTACTGACTTGAAGTCAGTGCTTCACAGGTAGCAATATCCAAAAATTTAAAAACATTTTATCAGTTCGTTAGAGAACTAGAGCCTCCTAGGTACTGAACCAGAATCAGTGCCTAGGGGACTCTAGTGATCTATATAAATCTGAGAAACTTTGAGGAAATTGTTCGACATTTCCTCAAAGTTTCTCAGCAATTTAGCGAGGAATGTTCGTTATCGTGTAGATATTTATAATATATACATGATAACAAACATTCCCCGCTAAAAGATGTAAAATCTTATAAGAAATAATTGCAAAAGAATAACAAATTGCAACAAATTTTATATGAAACTGAACCTTATGAGGTAGTGATTCAAGATCACCGCCTCATAAGATTCAGTTTCAATCTCAAGTATCTCAAAAGTAAGGCTCTATTTTTTGCCATGTAAAGTGTCACTTTTCTGTCCAAATGATAAGTTATTCAGAGAAAGTTTCCCAGCTATCAAGAGGGAATTGTTCCTTATGAGGTATATATTCATACTGTATACCTCATAAGGAACAATTCCCTCCTTAAAACGAGAAAACTTGTTCGAAATTGTTTATCATTTCGAACAAGTTTTCTCGTTTTTAATAAGAAACTAAAGGCTATGAGGCACTGATTATATATTAGTGCCTCACAGCCTTTAGTTTCTAATAGATAGCTGGGAAACTTTCTCCAAATGATAAGTTATTCAGAGAAAGTTTCCCAGCTATCAAGAGGGAATTGTTCCTTATGAGGTATATAGTTATAATGTATACCTCATAAGGAACAATTCCCTCATTAAAATCGTAGATATTTTTTACTTATTACTCATGCTTTCAAAATCACAATCCTCTGAAAAGTTATTTTTTATTAAGAATTTAGAATTTTGATAAATACCTTTTTTCAATTTGATATAATACTTATATATTTTCAAAAAGACATTTTGAAAAGATATCTCAAAAGTTCTCTGAAAACCTATTTTTGATTAATTTTGAGAAATATCCGTATTAAATTAATCAATAAATTCATTCAACACTACTTTAATTTTTAAATTCAAAAAATTATATGTGCTTCTTAAAATGTCTCACAAAAATTTTATTATAAAATTATATACAATATTAAAAATCCCACAACATTTTTTTACTTTACATAATCGTACTTCCTCGACGATTAATTTCCTCTCAATTCCTATCGTTGACCGAACTTAGCATGCAACAAAACATCTGTGAAATATTATCCTTCATCTCTGAAGACAATAACGAACAAAGATGTTATACAGAAATTCTTACCAAAGGTTGAAGAAGCTTCTATTGACATTGACGAAGGAAGTGAAATGGTTGAAGAAATAGACCCTGAAGCTATTTAAGCAAAAATATATTTTTGGTTAGTCTTCATATCGATATTTTACAACAATTCCCCAATGTATAAACTTTTCATACGCTTTTTCATAAGCTTTATATACCTTCAGAAATTTTGCATAATCTTTAGAAGCATTTAGATATTGTTTAAATGCTTTGTATGTCTTCAGAAATTTTTGCATAATCTTTTACATGTTGTTCGTTCTCTCTTCTGTCATGAGTTCCGAATATTCTAAATTCATGTTCTTTCATATGAGATAAAATTTTATAAAAAAAATAAAATTAGCTTAGATTTTTTTATTCTTCCTCTTTGAAGTTATCGAAATATTCTGTTATTTTTTCCTTCAGTAATGTTAAGTCTTCTTTGAATGTAAGTATTGTGCAACCTTTTGATGTCATAGTGTGTTTGAGGAAGAGTATTTTTGACAATTTCCTTTATTTGCTCATTCGGTGTCATTGAAATCGGTAAGTTTTCACGATAGAACCAGTTTCTGTCAGATTTATATATTTTAGCTAAGTCATAAAGCTCTTGTTGTTTCTTCTGACTAAATGCAACATAACTACATCTTTATCTTCTTCTTTCTCCAACTCTTCAGTATATATCATATACTTATAACTCTTTTCCTTTCCTTTTGGTACCGAACGCGGTATTCTTTTCTGTATGCTTTTGTCTTTGGATTCAATGACTTCATCTTTTGCTTGAAGTTTCTTTTCCATCTCTCCACGTTCTGCTTTATATAGTTCATCTAACATCATGAAAATATAACAAGCATAACGAGGTGAAGCCCACATTGCTACAGCATTTACTAAAAGTCTATGAACATAATAACCTTTCAAACCAGGAGCCAAATTCTTGCGATTTTCGTACGGAATCTCTTCTCTCGGTTTTCCGAGGGAAGCAATCATATGAGGAAATTCTTCTAAAAGTTCTTTTGTCTGTTGGTTTTCAAACCAATGATATGCTTGCTTTGTAGAACGAAGAGCATTCATTATACTTTGCATTTGGTACATATCGTCTTTGACCGAACGAATGAGGCGAAGTTGTTTGTTATATTGTATGTATTCGTATTCTTCATTTATAGCTTCATGGACTATAACTGTTGTTGTGTTCTCTAATGTTGACATTACTGTCTTTACATACAAAATAAAAAAATAAATAAAAATAAAATTAGCGTTATTTTTTCTGAGATAAACACTATTTCTTCACAACATTAAATTTTATCCTGTATGAAATGACTTTAAAAAGATTATTGACTGACTTCGAATACTATAGGGTGTCCAAAGGTGTGTTTAGCACAAACCTGAATACTGCGAATAGAAATAAACAAGTTACATATATATAAAGTTTATTTAAATATAATCACCATTGGATTCAATCACGCGTTCGCAGCGATCGATCCAGGCTTGAAAGACACGCTTTAAATCATCATGAGAAAATTGCTCAAATTGCTCTCTTACAAAATTTTCAAGATCATCTGGACTCGCGAATTCGCGTCCTTCAGCTCTCTTTTTTAGCGTGCCGAATAAATAAAAGTCAGAGGGTGCAATATCAGGTGAATAAATTGGGTTTGGAACAACTTTGACATTGTTTTCCACCAAGTAATTCATTACCTTATGACTTTTGTGAACTCTTGAATTATCAAAATGAATTGCAAACTTTTGTTTTTGTTGTTTGGATTTCTCAAACTCATCAGAATTGATAATTTGAGTAAGAACATTGTCAATTAGATACTGAGCATTCATCGTATTAGGTTTTTGAAGAATATCAATTGCGATGATGCCATTCACGCCCCAAAAAACCGACAACATCATCATTGGTGTGTCAATTTTTTTCTTCGGGAATGTTTGCGGATTTTCATCCTTCGGATCCACATGATTTTGGCTTCTGCTGCATATTGAAACCAAGACTCATCCCTGTTACTAAAAGCGAAACTTCTTGGATTGATACGCCACCTAATATAGAGAGGAGCTCTTTCGAAGATTGGACTCTAGATTTTTTTTGAACTGAATTAAGGTTGTGCGGAACCCAACGTGTATACGCTAGTTTTGTAGTTCAAATAATTGTGCAGATAATAACTGACTGTTTGTACGTGTATCTTTGTCATCTCCTCTATCCTTCTGAGTGATGCTCTTGGGTCTTCAATCTAGCGCTTGAAGAATTGCTTTGATTTTTCTTTGATCCGGCGATTTTTTGTCAATTTTTATGATGGGCGCCTTTTTGTTCATGAAGTGATACATCCTAACATGATAGCGTTACAGTGGAATAGCTAGGAGCATCCATACCGAAGCATTTTACCAATGTCTCGTAAGATTTTTTTTACAGTCTTTGCATTTTTTTTGCAAGGGCGAGGATGTTTTCTTTATGATTCATTAAAAAAAATGAAAAAAATCCGCCAAAATTTCCCGCGAAACCGCCTCTTGTCTCAAAATTCATTTTATATCCCGCATGGCGCCAAAATACAACATACTCATCATATACAATATATTCATATTTTTTATTATATATTTATAATCAGCATATATCTCCTTTAATAGTCTCATATAGAGCGCTGTGCTAAACGCACCTTTGGACACCCTATATCTCATTGACGCACTGATAGACCCTCAAAACTGTGTTGAAAGTTCTTTAAGCTTTAAGATTGAAGGTACGACGCATTTTTGTCTTCACTTACGTATTGAAAGAATATGACCGTTATCATAACGAAGTGAATCAAACACTAATAAAATTTGTAGATAAAAAATTGGATGAATATTTTAAACGTGAAGACTCAAACACCGCTGGAGATGATGAAGAATACAGACAAGTTATTGAAAAAAATAACGCAAGATTAGATGCAATAGAAAAGAAGTTTAATGAATGTCTTACAAACACGTATGAATATCTTATGCGGTGGGAAGCCAGATGGAAATAAATTTACGTCAAATATGCAATTTATAAAATCTTATGTCGACAGGCTACGTAGCACAGTGGTCTAAGGTGGTGTTATGGAGGGGTCAGGGTCTGTGGTTCGAACCGCGGCAGCGCCGTATTTTCTTATTTTCTTTGTTTGTCTTGTTTGTCGTGAATAAAAGTATCATAAAAGTGCTCTATCTTCCACGGGAATAATAAAAAATTTACCTTTATTTCTTCTTTATTTCTTTGTTCCCGTGGAAGAAGGGTTTTGCTGTTTTTTTTTCTCAGCCGAAATCAATGATTTTTCATTTTTGGAATCCTTAGCGAATGAGGAATCTTTTCTCTCGTGGAAGCTTTGACCAAAATAATTTTTAGGTGAAGAGGTGAGATCTCACCTGTTTTTTTCACCTCTTTTTTCACCTCTTTTTTCACAAGCGTTTTACATGAATTATACGATGTATATTTGAAAATCCTAAACAATTTCGTAGCTTCTATTTCTTCGCTGAGGATATCAAAAAGTTTTTAACAATGCCGAAGGTTTCTTTATATTTCTTCTTGACGTCAGACAGAAGGAAATCTTCTGCTGTTGGATAGTTTTTTATTAAGAAATGTCAACATATCCATTTTATCTTCTGCTGGCTTTTCTGCTTCTTTCTTTAAGTCTGCATAGTCGTTTTCGCATTCTTTCTATCTCTTTGACTGAGTAGTTATTATTTTTCTTAATTGCTGCTTTACATTTTGAACATTGCGGCATCGTTTTGCGTTATACATTGAAATAAAACCAGCTAGAACAACTAAGGCGTCAATGGTTTTCTTTAACTCAAAAGCTGCTGGTTTTATCTGTTCATTCCATACTTTACCTCTTCTATCTTTATCTTTATCTGCCATACACATTTTGCAACTAATGAAACAAGTTATCGTATGTCTTAAATTCTTCGGATTTGTAAAGGTCAGAAATATTTTATAAACCATGTCGCAATCTTTGTCCATAACTTTATGGTTGCAATGAAAACCAAGGAATTCATAATTTACTTTACGTATGAATTTCTTAATTTCTACTGAGTCAGTTGCTTTGATTCAATTTCGTCGAATTCAGGAATAGTTAGTTTTTGCTGCTGAATTTCAGGTAGTTTAGGCCAATGGTCGATGAGGTCCTCCATTTCATAAAGATACTGTTCATTTGTTTCATCTTTCGCACTACAGTCTAAATTACTTGTTAAAAGTTCTTGCTTTATCTTCTGGATTTCTGTTTCAAAAGTATATATGAAGAAGGAATAAAGCTTTTCATCTCTACCAACATTGACGTAGGATTCATGACTAGCGAGTTTGGTGCTTGTAGTTGTGGACAGAGTCCGCGTTCGTGGCTTTGAATTGTTGTTGTGCCGATTGTTGAAAATCATATCTTTTATACAAAATAAAAAATAAATAAAAATAAAACTAACTTTATTTTTCTATCTTAAGGAAATTCATGAAAATTCACGAGAAAGCTAAAGCAATCTGAGCCGCTAAGCGGCGAGGGTGAAAAAAGAGGTGAAAAAACGGTGAGATCTCACCTCTTCACCTAAACATTATTTTTGGTGTAAATTTATGACAAAAATAAATGGTACCATTAATAATACATGACTGTTCTCATTCATGTCTGATTTACATCTAATGAAAAAGTTTAGAAGAATTTCTTATTCTTTCTGGCTTATTTTTGTCTTTCCAGTACTCCCGCTCTAATGGTCCCAGATGTGTTGGCTTTGACTCTCTCAATTCTTTAGATGGTATAACATCTTCAACGCCCTCCTTCATATCTTACTTTATAAGTGTCATCGTTTATGTTATAGCCAAGTATTTCAATAACCACTCCTCGCTTTGCTTCGTCAATGGTTTCAGCAAGTTTGCCATTACTACTTTCAACTAATTTATGACGAGGATAAAACGCAATGGAGTCGTCAGCAGCTTTTATAAGATATCCATTACCTTGCGTAGAGTCTACGATATAATAGTTTCTACTTAACCTTAAACGTTTCTTTGTCAACGGTTTTCGTCAAGAACTACACGAACTTTTGTACCAGGAATGAGGGTAAATTGTGTTGAATTTCTGATATTTTGTGTTTGGCTTCGTTTCTT